AGTTTGAGACCAGCCTGGCCAACATGGTGAAACCCCAACTCTACTAAAAATACAAAAATTAGCTGGGTATGGTAGTGGGCACCTATAATCCCAGCTACTTGGGAGGTTGAGGTAGAAGAATCACTTGAAACCAGAAGACAGAGGTTGCAGTGAGCCAAGATCACACCACTGCACTCCAGCCCAGGCAACAAGAGCAAAACCATGTCTCAAAAAAAATTGTGGCCGAGCATAGTGGTTCACGCCTGTAATCCCAGCACTTTGGGAGTCCGATGCGGATGAATCATGAAGTCAAGAGATTGAGACCATCCTGGCTAACACGGTGAAACCCCGTCTCTACTAAAAATATAAAATAATTAGCCGGGCATGGTTGCACAAGCCTGTAGTTCCAGCTACTTGGGAGGCTGAGACAGGAGAATTGCTTAAACCCGGGAGGCAGAGGTTGCAGTAAGCCTAGATTATACCACTGCACTATAGCCTGGGCGACAGAGCAAGACTCCATCTCGAGAGAGAGAGAAGAAAAAAAAGCAAGGCTGGGCATGGTGTCTCATGTCTGTAATCCCAGCACTTTGGGAGGCCAACATGGATGGATCGCTTGAGCCCAGGAGTTTGAGACCAGCCTGGGCAACATGGCAAGACACTGGCTCTACAAAAAATAAAGAAGTAGCCAGATGTGGTGGCGCACACCTGTAGTTAAGCAATTTGGGAGGCTGAGGTAGAAGGGATGCTTGAGCCTAAGAGGCTGAGACTTCAGTGAGCCATAGCTGTGCCAGCCACTGTACTCCAGCCTAGGTGACAGAACAAGACCCTAACTCAAAAATAAATTAAAAAAAAAAAATTAAAAATTCCAGAAATAAACAATTCACAAGTTTCGTTTTGTTTGTTTTTTGAGACAGTTTTGCTCCTGTTGCCCAGGCTGAAGTACCATGGCATGGTCTCGGCTCACCACAACCTCTGCCTCCCGGGTTCAAGCAATTCTCCTGCCTCAGCCTCCTGAGTAGCTGGGATTACAGGCATGCACCATCATGTATTTTTAGTAGAGATGGGGTTTCTCCATCTTCATCAGGCTGGTCTCAAACTTCCAACCTCTGGTGATTCACTCGCCTCAGCCTCCCAAAGTGCTGGGATTACAGGCGTGAGCCACTGCTCCAGGCCACAATTCACAAGTTTTTTAAAGTGCTGGCCATTCTGAGTAGAGTGATGAAATCTCAGGCTAGCCCATTCTACCCTGTTCAGGATGCGAATCATCCCTTTGTTCACCACACTGTATATGCTATCTTCTCATTAGTCCCTTAGCCAACTTCGTTCTCAGATAGGAAAACATAGTATATATAGACGGTTTTGTATTATCTGCCATTTCAGGCATCCACGGGGGGTTTTGGAACATATCTTCTATGGATTAGGTGGGGACTAGTATATTCTAAAAATGTGTTAGTGTGTCACAAAATGTTAAAATACACATAGATTTTGAAATGTTTTATAAATACAATTGGAATGTACAGTAAAAAGGCAGTATTTTCTCCCAATGAATTCACAGTAAAAAAGAACACATGTAAGCAAAACTATCATCAAGGTGAATTTTTTTTTTTTTAAGACAGAGTCTCACTTTGTCTCCCAGCTGGAGTGCAGTGGCATGATCTTAGCTCACTGTAACCTCCGCCTCCTGGGTTCAAGCGATTCTCCTGCCTCAGCCTCCGAAGTAGCTGGGATTACAGGCATGTGCCACCACGCCCGGCTAATTTTTGTATTTTTAATAGGGACAAGGTTTCACCATATTGGTCATGCTGGTCTTGAACTCCTGACCATGTGATCCACCCACCTTGGCCTCCCAAAGTGCTGGAATTACAGGTGTGAGCCACCATGCCCCATTGTTTTTCCTCTCTTAACAGTGTAATATTCATGAAGACCGAATTTCTTCCAGGTCTTTTAAAACTACCCTTAATGTATTAGAAATGGTCCCTACATTTTAATTTTTCCCCTAAATGTTATGTTGGTGATTTTATAAAAAAAATCCTGATGAGTTACAATATATTTAAAGTTAAATGTTAAAAAATTAGGAAGACCGGTGGGGCATGGTGGCTCACGCCTGTAATCCCAGCACTCTGGGAGGCCGAGGTGAGCGGATCACCCAAGGTCAGGAGTTTGAGACCAGCCTGGTGAACATGGTGAAACCCCATCTCTATTAAAAAATACAAAAATTAGCCAGGTGGGGTGGCACATGCCTGTAGTCTCAGCTACTCGGGAGGCTGAGGCAGGAGAATCATTTGAATCTGGGAGGCGGATGTTGCAGTCAGCCAATATCACGCCACTGCACTCCATCTTGGGTGACAGAGTGAGACTCAGTCTCAAAATAAGGAAGACCACCTTTCCAGTCAACTTTAAGGAATGTTTATTTTATTTAGATTTTGAGACAGAGTCTTGCTCTATCTGTCGCCCAGGCTGGAGTGCATGGCGTGATCTTGGCTCATTATAACCTCTGCCTCCCAGGTTCAAGCTATTCCCTGCCTCAGCCAGCCAAGTAGTTACAGGCGCCCGCCACCATGCCCAGCTAATTTTTGTATTTTTAGTAGAGATGGGGTTTTACCATCTTGGGCAGGCTGGTCTTAAACTCCTGACCTTGTGATCTACCTTACCTGCCTTGGCCTCCCAAAGTGCTGGGACTACAGGCATGAGCCACCACGCCTGGCCCAGGAATGTTCATTTTAAAACAGCATTAAAAGTACCAAAATATAAAAATACGTTGAGCAAGACTTAAATGCATGCTTAATAAAAGTAGGCTAGGTGTAGTGGCTCATGCCTGTAATCACAGCATTTTAGGAGGCCAAGGTAGGAGGATCACTTGAGCCCAAGAGTTCATGACCAGCTTAAGCAACATAGAGAGACCCTGTCTCTTAAAAAAAAAGATAAAAGCAGGGAATTCATCCTTTACCAATGAATGGTGAATGGATCCTGCAAGTCAAGAGATTTCCATGCTTTCTCTCTTTCTCTACAAATGTTCCTTGACTTACAATGGGGTTACATCGGGATAAATCTATTACAAATTGTTGCCTAGCAGTGCAAGAGAAGTACAGTTTCTACTGAACATCTATAGCTTTCATACCTTCATAAAGTTGGAAATCATGAAGTTGGACCATAGGAAGTTGGGGACCATGTGTATGCACAGTTTTAGTAGTTTTTCTTGATACCAGTATCTCTTTAATATAACCACAACCAGAGAATGGGGGAGGCAAAGTTTTAATGTAGGGGTCTAAATTCTGCTGATAGGAAGCAACCTTTTCTCTCTCAGGGTTTCACCTATGCAGAGGTATAAAGAAAGAACTATCAGAACATGAGGTTCTGATCCAATCCGCTGAGGGTCCTTGGCCCAAATCTGGCTTGTAGACAGGTTTGACTTACATAAGGTTTAAAAATAATTTTTTTGGCTGGGCGTGGTGGCTCACGCCTCTAATCCAAGCACTTAAGGAGACCAAGGCGGGCGGATCACCTGAGGTTGGGAGTTCAAGACCAGCCTGACCAACATGGTGAAACCCTGACTTTTTAAAAAACAAACAAACAAACAAACAAATAAATAAATAAAAATATATTTTTTTTCTTTGGCCGGGCGTAGGTGGCTTAGACAGAGTCTCGCTTTGTCTCCCATGCTGGAGTGCAGTGGCATGATCTCAGCTCACTGCAATCTCTGCCTCCTGGGTTTAAGTGATTCTCCTGCCTCAGCCTCCCAAGTAGCTGGAATTACAGGAGGATTAGATCAGAACTTCACACCTGTAAATCTCAGAACTTTGGGAGGCCAAGGTGGGTGGATCGCTTGAGGTCAGGAGTTCAAGACCAACTTGGTCAGGCCGGGCGCAGTGGCTCACGCCTGTAATCCCAGCACTTTGGAAGGCCAAGGCGGGTGGATCACGAGGTCAAGAGATTGAGACCATCCTGGTCAACATGGTGAAACCCCGTCTCTATTAAAAATACAAAAAATTAGCTGGGCATGGTGGCGCATGCCTGTAATCCCAGCTCTCAGGAGGCCGAGGCAGGAGAATTGTCTGAACCCAGGAGGCGGAGGTTGCAGTGAGCCGAGATCGCACCATTGCACTCCAGCCTGTGTAACAAGAGCGAAACTCCGTCTCAGGGAAAAAAAAAAAAAAAAAAAAAAAAAAAAAAAAAAAAAAAAAAAAAGACCAACTTGGTCAACATGGTGGAAACCCTGTCTCTACTAAAAATACAAAAACAATTAGCCAGAAATTAACCAGGCAGGGTGGCACATGCCTGTAATCCTAGCTACTCAGGAGGCTGAGGCACGAGAATCGCTTGAACCCAGGAGGCAGAGGTTGCAGTGAAGTAAGATTGCACCACTGCACCCAGCCTGGGAGACAGAGTGAGACTCTATCTCAAAAAAAAAAAAATTTTTTTTTGAAACACGGTCTGGCTCTTGCTCAGGCTGAAATGCAGTGGCACAAACATAGCTCACTTCAACCTTGACCTCCCAGGCTCAAGTTATCCTCCCACCTCAGCCTTCCCAAGGTGCTGGAACTACAGACATGTGACACTACACCCAGCTAATTTTTTAAAAGTTTTAATAGAGATGGGGTCTCGCTATGTTGCCCAGGTTGGTCTCGAACTCCTGGGGTCAAGTGATCCTCCTACCTTGGCCTCTCAAAGTGTTTGGATTACAGCATAAGCCACCACGCCTGCCTGGGCTTAAAAATTTTTAGTTACACATTTAAAAATCAGAGGGATTTCTATATAAATCTGGCTTTCCAGAGTCTTTTGAAAACCTGAAAGATATGGCAACAACCATCTACAACTGACTAGGAGTGGCAAGCACTCTTCAGCTGTCCATATCCCCTTCCTGGCTCTCACTCATTTAAATTTCTTGTCTGGCTTCTGTCAGCATCTGAATTTGCAAACCCTACTTACAAGACCTAGGGAGGAAAACTACAACGTCAGCTGGTCCAGAGAGTCCCAGTGGCCAAGCCCTGGTCCAGCTCTGGATGTGAGTTAGGCCCCCTCACCTGGAAAGTCAGTGACAGCAGGGTCCGCCATCCGCCCATAGCGCGCCATTAGTTTGAGCTTGGTCTCCTGTTTTCTGTGTTTCTTGCCCACATAATGTTGTTGAGCCATGACAGGGTTGTTGAAAGTCGCATGGCAGAGGCTGCAGAACTTGTCTGGGTCTATCAGCTCTCTATTCTGGTGCAAGGCTAAGGTGGAGGCCATAAGGAAAGGATTTGTAAGGCGTTTCGACAGAGCTGCGGTGAGAGAGTTCAAACAGAAACAATGAAAAAACCCAGAAGGCACCAGACTTTTGAGTATGCTGAACAGAAAGAAGAGGCTGTGTCACCTGTTAATCCCACTTGCAGATGTGGCGCTGTCTATGTGAATGGCACAGTGAATGAATTCTCTAATTGGGAAAACTGGGAAGATTTGAGGGAATCCAAAGACTGGCTGCTTCATTCAGCAACTTTAACTACTTTAATAAGCACACAAATCCTGATTTTCTCATATTCTTAGGAGACTCTGAACTTCTCCTGTCAAGTTGCCAAATTACAGTAGACTAGATGCTACTTGTACTCTTGCAGGGATACTTCAGCATTTCTCAGAACTTCATAACAAGTGGGACAACAAGTTTGGGAGTTTAATTCTCATCCTCTAAGTAACACAGTTGCAGAAATGGGAACCAATGCATACATAAAGAAATTGAGGTTTGAGTTCCTGGAGCTCATACAGGGTCATTTAGAAAAGGTAACCATGTGGCCAGGCATGGTAGCTTACGCCTGTAATCCCAGCACACTGGGAGGCTGAAGCGGGAGGATCTCCTGAGGTCAGGAGTTTGAAATCAGCCTGGCCAACATGGTAAAACCCCATCTCTACTAAAAAAATATAAAAAAAGTAGCTGGGTGTGGTGGCACACACTTGTAATCCCAGTTACTTGGGAGGCTGAGGCAGGAGAATTGCTTGAACCCGAGAGGCGGAGGTTACAGTGAGCCAAGATGGTCCCACTGCACTCTAGCCTGGCCAACAGAGTGAGACTCTGTTTCAAATAAAAAAAAAGAAAAGAAAAGGTAACCATACTAGGGATGCCTTTTAGGCTACATTGCACTATAGGCTGAGTAGGGAGAGAAGGACTGTTAACATTTAGTTATGTGTTTTGCACATACATTTTCTCCTTTGGTTCTCAGAACTACCCCAGTGAGATAGGTATCACTTTGCCACATTATTCAGAAAAACCAAGACTCAGATGAGTGAAGTGATTTGCCCAAGGTGACCTAGTTAGCGAGTGAAGCCAGGTCTGTGAGCCTAAAGCCTATGCTCTCTTTGCTATGCTAGGCTGCCAGAGTGTGGCAAGAAGACCTAAAGGAGGTCTTCTCATATTTTCACCTTCAGAAAATATCCCTGATTCTGGTCAATGAATTCAGTTAATCAGACCCTGGTGTGGGCATACATGTAAGCCTCTTGTGCATCAATCTTGTACGTCTTGATGCTGACTGTGGGCTGCACTGCTGCCTCATAAAGTGGATGCCACGACTCACTAATAAGTCCATGTGGCTGGAATAGTGTCAACCTAGCAATTATTGCTTTAAAAATGTGGGGCCCAGGCTAGGCGCAGTGGCTCATGCCTGTAATCCCAGCACTTTGGGAGGCTGAGGCAGGCAGATCATGAGGTCAGGACTTTGAGACCAGCCTGGCCAATATAGTGAAATCCTATCTCTACTAAAAATACATGGCATGCACCTTTAGTCCCAGCTACTTGGGAAGCCAAGGCAGAAGAATCACTTGAACCTAAGAGGAGGAGGTTGCAGTGAGCTGAGATCACACCACTGCACTCCAGCCTGGTGACAGACGAGACTCAATCTCAAAAAAAAAAAAAAGTGTGGGGACCAGAAGCCCCCACCAGTGGTGGAGGAGGGATGGGACTCAGCAGGACTCTCAGATGAAATAGCTCAGATGCTCTTCCATATCCATACCACTTCAACTGGGGAAGTTTTGAGGATTTTGGGCAAGACAGAAGAAATTTGCTGGCCTTTCCCACAATGGTTTTTCAGTATAGGAAATCTTAATTTCTCTGCCTGTTGATTTTGTTTCAGTAAGTCATTAAAAAAGTAATGTACATGTTGTAGAATATTTTATAACATGAGAAAATATTCTGTTTGTGGTGTTAAGTGTGAAAAAAGCATATTATAGACCAGGTGTGGTGGCTCATGCCTAGAATCCCAGCACTTTGGAAAATTGAGGAGGGCAGATCATCTGAGGTCAGGAGTTTGAGACCAGCCTGGCCAACATGGTAAAACCTGGTCTCTACTAAAAAAATACAAAATTAGTGGGGTGTGATGGCGAATTCCTGTAATCCCAGCTTCTCAGGAAGCTGAGGCAGGAGAATCACTTGAACCCGGGAGGCAGAGGTTGCAGTGAGCTGAGATTGTGCCATTACACTCAAGCCTGGGCAAAAAGAACAAGACTCCATCTCAAAAACAACAAAAAAAACTCAAGTTACATATCAATCTACTTCTTATATACTCAATTTTTTTTTGTTTGAGACAGTCTCACTCTGTTGCCAGGCTGGAGTACAGTGGTGCAATCTTGGCTCACTGCAACCTCCGCCTCCCGGGTTCAAGTGATTCTCCTGCCTCAGCCTCCCAAGTACCTAGGACTATAGGTGCGCACCACTACACCCAGCTAATTTTTATATTTTTTAGTAGAGACCAGGTTTCACCATGTTGGCCAGGCTGGTCTGGAACTCCTGGCCTCAAGTGATATTTTCACCTTAAGAAAATATCCCTGATTCTGGTCAATGAATTCAATTAAGCAGAGCCTGGTCTGATTAACTGCCCTGGCCTCCCAAAGTGCTGGGATTACAGGCATGAGACACCGTGCCCAGCCTATGTCCTCAATTTTATAGAACAACAACAAAAAAACACATAGGTGATTGCATGGAAAAAAAGATCAAAAGCATAGAGAGTAGAGTGTGTTTCACTATTTTCCAACTTTTCCTTTTTTTTTTTGAGATGGTGTTTTACTCTTGTTGCCCAGACTGGAGTGCAATGGTGTGATCTCAGCTCACTATAACCCTTGCCTCCCTGCAACCTCTGCCTCCCGGGTTCAATGACTTTCCTGCCTCAGCCTCCCAAGTAGCTGGGATTACAGGCATGCACCACCACGCCTGGCTAATTCTGTATTTTTAGTAGAGATGGGGTTTCACCATGTTGGTCAGGCTGGTCATGAACTCCTGACCTCAGGTGATCCACCCCCTTGGCCTCCCAAAGTTCTGGGATTACAGGCATGAGCCACCAAACCCAGCCTACTATTTTCCAACTCTTCTAAAATGAATGTAGATTTTTTTTTTCTTTTTTTTTTTCAGGATGGGAGAAGAAAGATTCAGGTTGAATGTAGATTTTTAACATCAGAAAAGAGTTAAGAGAAAAAGGTCATTCTTTAAGATACTGAAGAGAAGCATCAGAGGTGAAAGGGTTAAGAAAGTCTGGAAGAACTATTTAATGCACATTCAATAAAATGAGAGCAATAGAGTTCTTTCTCAGAAAATAACCTGAAATATGATAAAGTGTTCTACAGAGATGTTCACTGTAGCATTATTTTTAACACCAAAAAAGTGGGGAGATTAAATATTCAGCATTAGAGGAATGTTAAATGTGGTATGATGCAGTCACCAAAAATGCTTATAAAGAAGTTTTTAGCAATATAGGGAAATAAAAATGTCATATTAAATATAAAATGTATAGAAGGCAATTGTATGGTCAGGCGTGGTGGCTCACGCCTGTAATCCTACCACTTTGGGAGGCAGAGGCAGGTGAATCACCTGAGATCAGGAGTTAGAGACCAGCCTGGGCAACATGATGAAACCCCATCTCTACTAAAAATACAAAGATTAGTCCAAGCAGGGTGTCGCATGCATGTAATCCCAGCAATTTGGGAGGCCGAGGCGGGTGGATTACCTGAGGTCAGGAGTTTGAGACCAGCCTGACCAACATGGTGAAACCTCATCTCTACTAAAAATACGAAACTAGCCGGGTGTGGTGGTGTGTGCCTATAATCCCAGCTACTCGGGAGGCTGAGACAGAATTGCTTGAATCTAGGGGCAGAGGTTGCAGTGAGCCAAGATCACACCAATTCACTCAAGCCTGGGCAAAACAGGGAGACTCCGTCTCAAAAAAAAAAAAAAAAAAGGCAACTGTACACACCCCACATGGTAAGATCATTGTTTGAGGCCAGGAGTTCAAGACCAGCCTGGCTAAAATAGTGAAACCCTGACTTCACTAAAGAATATCAAAATTAGCCGGGTATGGTGGCATGTGCCTATAATCCCAGCTATTTGGGAGGCTGAGGCAGAAGAATTGCTTAAAGCCGGGAGGCAGAGGTTGCAGTAAGCCCAGATAGTGCCACTGCATTACAGCCTGGGTGACAGAGTGAGACTTTTTTTTTTTTTTTTTTTGAGACGGAGTTTCACTGCTGTTACCCAGACTGGAGGGCAATGGCACAATCTCGGCTCACCGCAACCTCTGCCTTCTGGGTTCAAGCAATTCTCCTGCCCCAGCCTCCCGAGTAGCTGGGACTACAGGCATGCACCACCATGCCCAGCTAATTTTTGTATTTTTAGTAGAGATGGGGTTTCACCTCGTTGACCAGGATGGTTTCGATCTCTTGACCTCGTGATCCACCCGCCTCGGCCTCCCAAAGTGCTGGGATTATAGGTGTGAGCCACCGTGCCCGGCCTTGAGACTTCGTTTTAAAAAAACAAAAACAAAACAAAAAAACCCACATGTGTACTCCATATGGGTATTTTGAAACATCGCCAACATATTAATAGTGTTTCTCTCTTGGTGGTAGGATTTGGGTGATGTTTTACTTTTGCAACTGTTTTTTTCTTTTTTTGGGTGGGGGACAAAGTCTCACTCTGTTACCCAGGCTGGAGTGCAATGGCACGATCTCAACTCACGGCAACCTCCACCTCCCAGGTTCAAGCTATTCTCTTGCCTCAGCCTCCTGAGTAGCCTCGTGCCAGCATGCCCAGCTAATTTTTGTATTTTTAGTAGAGACGGGGTTTCACTGTATTGGCCAGGCTGGTCTTGAACCCTAACCTTGTGATCTGCCCACCTCAGCCTCCCAAAGTACTGGGATTACAGGTGTGAGCCACCATGCCCAGCCTGTAATTGTTTAAACTGGAATTATTCATAATGAATATGCATTGTTTTTATAAAAACATTAAGGTTATTTAAAGTAGTTTATGTTTGTATGCACATATACATGGAGTTAACCTATGCATAAAGCAAATATATACACACACATAACAAAAGATTATAGGAGAAACAGTACTCCAAATGTTAACAGTGATTATCTGTGAATGGTAAAATTATGGGTAACTTTTCTTTCCATTTACCTATATTTTCTAGATCTCCTACCATATGCTTGCATTACTTTTACATTAAAAATTGTTTAATTTCAGAAACATAGTTATAAACTCGTGTAATAAGATGGAAATGTGCTTACATTGTAAAATTAAATGAAAACTAAAAGTAGGATATAAACGGTACATGAAATTATGATCACAACTATATAAAAACAAATCAGTATGTGGCAAAAGCTGAAAGTGAATATGGAAAATAATCTCCTGAGTATGAAGTTTTAGGGACGAGGCATAATGCAGACAATTTTCCCATTTGTGGAAAGATTAGTCTGTGACCTTATAAATTTTTTTTTTTTTGAGACACACTCTTGCTGTGTCACCCAAGCTGGAGTGCAGTGTCGCGATCTGTCTCAGCCTCCCGAGTAGCTGAGACTACAGGCTCGAGCCACCACACTCAGCTAATTTTCATATTTTTAGTAGAGACGAGGTTTCACTGTGTTGGCCAGGCTGGTCTTGAACTTCTGACCTCAAGTGATCCACCCACCTTGGCCTCTCAAAGTTCTGAGATTACAGGCATGAGCCACCATGTCCAGCCTATGTCCTATTTTTTCTTTTTTCCTAACCACTAGACTACCAGGGATGTCCTATGTTTTTAATACATATTATCATATCCTCAAAACCAATGAAGTAGATGGTATTATTATCATTTTATAGGTTAGGCAATTCAGACAGAAAAAAAGTCATATACAAATAATAAGTAACAGTGCCAGGCTTTAAACCTGGGACTCTGTGACTTCAGAGTCTGCATTCTGCTGTTTCATACCATTGATAACTAGATGTAGGTGTGATACAGATGTATAATTATGAGTGGTCAGGTGTGGCTCATGTCTGTAATCCCAGCACTATGGGAGGCCAAGATGGGAGGATCACTTAAGGCCAGGAGTTCAAGACCAGCCTGAGCAACATAGTGAGAAGACATCTCTATTAAAAAAAAAAATTATGATTTTTTTCCACTCTACCTTCAAAGTCTTCCAAAACACTGTTGTCAGTAAACAAAAAAAGGATAATAGTATTACTAATAGTGTAGTCTACTTCTTGGTCCAAAATAGAGAAGCAAAAATTACCAAGAAAACAATGAAATGAACATCAAAGAACTTTTACTCTTGACTAATTAATTGCAGTTAGCAGAGGTTGAAACCCCAGAAAGTCAGAAGTTAATGAGATGAAAGTAAGGGCTGAGCCCTAGTAGTACCAAGTTAAAGAGGGCTATTTCAGAAGTCCCTGTACTAGGAATGAATTCATGGCAGCTACAGATTGCTGGGCAGTAGTAGCGGCAGTGAAGTATTCAGCTTTGAAAGGCAAGTCCCCGTTTTGAGAACAGGCAGCTTTTGAGGATTAAAGTGAGTAGGCCATAACCTGAGCATGTGAAAAAGACAAGAATTTAGCTTTCAACTTGGAACATGTAGTAATAAGGGCAGGTGGATACTGGGATGGAAAAATCTAAGTGGGAGAGGTAGGAGATAGAATCCTCTCATGGTATGTGTGGCCTGGAGGACTCTGGCAATCCTGAGTTATAATTATTAGGACGAAAGCTCAGGCTATAGAGAAAAACATGTAACCAAAGAAAGGGAGGCTAGGTGAGCACAATTCTGAGGCTGCATTCCAATGAAGCTGGGTCTACTTGGAGTTTTGTTTTGTTTTGTTTTTGAGACAAAGTTTCGCTCTTGTTGCCCAAGCTGGAATGCAATGGCACAATCTCAGCTCACTACAACTCCCACCTCCTGGGTTCAAGTGATCCTCCTGCCTCAGCCTCCTGAGTAGCTAGGATTACAGGCGCACACTACCATGCCCAGCTAATTTTTTGTATTTTTAGTAGAGACCAGGTTTCACCATGTTGGTCAGGATGGTCTTGAACTCCTGACCTCAGGTGATCTGCCCACCTCGGCCTCCCAAAGTGCTAGGATTACAGGTGTGAGCCACTGCGCCTGGCCAACCTGGAGATTTTTAAGGGCTCTCAAAAGCAATTTAACCTCTTCAAGTCTGTGGCCCCAGTGAGCATTTCTGTGAGCCCCTGGTGATGGTACCCTGAGAACAGGAGGAATATAGCACTACTCAGGAAAACCAGTACCTTCCATCTTAGTGGATTGCTGCTTCAGCTTTAAGTTCTTTGCATGGGTCTTCCCCAGGTAGTGCGACTGGGCCACGACAGGGGAGGAAAAGGTCATGTTACAGATGGGGCAGCACTGGTTCTTGTCTTTGCTTCTGCTGCTCTTCTGGTTGGAGGAAAGAACAGAGGTCTGATCACACCCTTGCCCCACCAGAAAACCTTCAATGGTTTCCCACTGCCCCTAAGAGAATAGGGATTAACACACATTAACCCCAACCTATTTTCTAGATTCTTCTCCAGCTACTTCATCCCAGCCTCTATTCATCGTCCCCCTCTTTATTCTCTGAAGCTTCCTTGCTTTGCTTGGGCCATTCCTACTGTCTAAAATGCTTTTTCTTCCTTTCCTGCCTAGCAGTGTGTCTGCTTAGACTTCAAAACCCAATTTAAATATCAGCTCTTCTTCTGGGGAACTTTCACTCCAAAAAAAAAAAAAAGTAATTCAATAAACAACTATCAAGTCCTTTTGTCTGTGTATTCCAGAAAGAATTAACCCTGCTCCTCTTCTGTACTCCCAGAGTACATTAAATAGACCTCTGTCATACACTTGCCACCATAAACTGACAGTGCCTTAGCATAGGAGACTTTTCTGTGAACTCAAGTGTGACACTGGGACAGGGACTATTTGACTCATCTTTGTTTCCTATCCTTCACACCCAGCTGGAGTCTGGCACACAGTAGATGCTCAGGGTTTGCTGAACAAATGGACCACTGGGTTTTGTGGTATTTTTTTGAGACAGGGTCTCACTCTGTCAACCAGGCTAGAGTGCAGTGGTGTGATCTCGGCTCGCTGCAATCTTCACCTCTGGGGCTCAAGTAATTCTCCCACCTCACCCCTGCAAGTAGCTGAATTACAGGTGCATGCCACCACACCCGGCTAATTTTTGTAAAGATGGGATTTCACCACGTTGCCCAGCTCAAGCAATCTATCCACCTCAGCCACCTAAAGTGCTAGGATTACAGGCATGAGCCACTGCATCTGGCCTCCCACTGGGTTCTACTTGTTGATCATGATTAGGCTAGAAAACCATGTATTTCAAGACTGCATTAACATCTCTCTGAGAAAGCCTGATATCTGAATAGGGTATTTACTAGGTATTTGTCAACCTTGGCACTACTGATATTTTGGGCTTGGTAATTCTCTGCTGGTGGTGTAGGGGGTAGGAGGTGGGCAGATGCTGCAACTTTTTTTTGTTGTTGTTTGTTTTTTTCTTTTTTATAGAGACGGGATTTCTTCATGTTGGTCAGGCTGGTCTTAAACTCCTGACCTCAGGTGATCCACCCGCCTCAGCCTCCCAAAGTGCTGGGATTACAGGCATGAACCACCGCGCCCAACCCAGATGCTGCAGTTTCATTTGAACCATCAAGCCACCCATCCTGAAGTTAAAGGAACCAAGGTGCAAAGATGTAAAATGACTTGCCCAGGGTCATAAAGTTGATCTTGCCTTTCTGAATTATAAATTATAATAGGGCCAGATGCATTGGCTCACACCTGTAATCCTCGTACTTTGGGAGGCTGAGGTGGGAGGATTGCTTGGGCCCAAGAATTCAAGACAAAGCATGACCCTATCTCTATAAAAAAATGTTTTAAAAATTAGCCAGGTGGCTGGGCAAAGTGGCTCACACTTGTAATCCTAAGACTTTGGGAGGCTGAGGCAGGCAAATCACTTGAGGTCAGGGATTTGAGACCAGCCTGGCTAACATGGTGAAACCCTATCTCTCCTAAAAATCCAAAAATCAGCTGGGCGTGGTGACGCACGCCTGTAGTCACAGCTACTTGGGAGGCTGAGGCATAGGAATTGCTTGAATCCAGAAGGCGGAGGTTGTAGTGAGCTGAGATTGTGTCATTGCACTCCAGTTAGCCAGATGTGGTGATGTGTGCCTGTAGTCCTAGCTACCTGGGAGGCTGAAGTGGGAGGATTCACTTAAGCTTGGGAGGTTGAAGCTGCAGTGAGCCATGATTGCACCACTGCACTCTAGCCTGGGTGACAGAGGCAGATCCTGTCTCAAAAACGAATAGACAGTTAAGAGAAATAGATAGAAAGGAGGGAAACCAGGGATAAATAAATAAAATAAATAATAATAAGGGAAACCAGGGGAGCGGTCCAGTGAATTTTGAGAAGAGATAAAAAAGTCCCTTCCCAACTTGTGGCCACCATAATAGGAGGTAGCAGTTTACAGAGTAAACCCTTATTTATTGAGCATCTACTAGGAATTGAAACTTTACCTCACAATACCCTTACAAAGTAGGAATTATCTCTACTTTATGAGTGAAGTTCACAGAGGTTAAGTGACTTGGTCAAAGTTACCCGACCAGTAAGACACAGAGCCAGCTTGGAGCCCTAGTCTGCTCAACTTCCCTTCCCACAATGAGATGATACTCCCGAGGGATTGGGGGTTGCTTCAGCATAATGCTCATAGTATTTCTGAGCCAAAAAGCACACGTGATCACCCCTCAATCAGAGCAGGCATTTGGAAAGGTGTTCCTTCTGCTAATTTATTCAAAACATCCAAGTGCTGAACTTAGGTCTTTTCCCTGGCTCTCAAGAAAGTAAGCAGCCTGGCTTCTTTCCACTTTCTCTTGTCTTGCTCCAGTAAACCACTAGGTGGTAATATGTAACATCAGCTCCATTACTTAGTCCCTACTATGTGCCAGGCTCTGAATTAGGTGCTTTTTATAAACCTGCCCTCATTTTAATTTGGAAAAATCTTGAAAGGTAGTTGATGTTACCATCCTCATTTTTATAGAGGAAGAAATTGAGACTTGATGAAGTAACAGATTTGCCCAAGTCACACAACAGGGCTGGGATCTGAAGCCGAGACAGTCTGACTTGTTCATCGCACCAACCTGCTGGCTAGCTTCATCAGGAAACAAGCAGGCTCAATATGGCAGCTGCATTACCTGATCTGAGTCTAGCTTCTTCGTTTCCCCCTTTAATGTCTCCATTCCATGGACTGCTAGGTATCTCTTCACTTTGTTGGCATGTTTTTTGCTCTGCAAGAACCCAGGAAAAAGATCAAAGATAGCCAAATGCCACTTCATACTGAAGGCACTCAAAAACACTTACTAGATTTTCATCTGACTCATCCTCACAAAAAGTTTTGAGAAGGAGGTGAGGGAAGTTTGAGTTCCTACTCTGTGTAAGGCAATTTACAGCTATCAAATTTAATCTTCACAAACAATCTATGAGAAAATTATGACCATCTAATGAGGAAGCTAAGTCTAAAAATGATGAAGTTTCTTGCCCAAGATGAGTAGCAGAGTTTTGATTCAAACTCAGATCTATTTAAAGCCAAAGCTCATATTTTACGCTATGCCAAGCTGCAAGGGAAGATATACATATAATGATCCTGATTTGGATAGGAGAGATAAGACTCAGAGAAATTAAGTCAATCTTCAAGGCACAAGCCAACATGCATGAAGGCAACATCTGGGTGGTTAAGCAATTACACTTCACCATGCAAGCCAGGGAGAATGAGGGGCTTAGCACTGGATCTGAAAAGAAACGCGGTTCTAAAAGTATGATGACATACCTGGTAATGTGCCAGCTTCTGGGACTCAGAAATAAGCAAGGCGCAGCAAACCTTACACTGGGTGTTGGTGAAGAGACACTGGTTCTTCTCAATCATGTGTTCCACTACAAAGGGGAAAATAAGAAATCAGTGAGTTGACAAACACTACCTCAACAGCACTGTGTTTGAACTCTATCTCAAACACAGGCAATGAATAATGGATGCCATACTAGGACACTGGCAGACCTCAGCCACCCTCTCCGACTGCTGCCATGACTCATGCTATGTTCTCACACCACCTACACTATTACTTATATTATAATTTTATGTATGCCAACTTTCTTTACTTAGGAACTTCTTTTAAAAAGGAATCTTTAGATCATAAACTTAAGTAGATACCAATAAAAATAAATATTATAAAAACGAGGCTTGGAGCATTCCCCAGGGAATGAAACTGTCTTAAGTTTCAGAACTGTCTCAGAAACTGTGCTGAGAAGTTTTAAGACATGGTAGTACCCAACTGAAACTTCTTCCCAGATAGAATCAGGAGGACTGAAAGACTCGAAAAGGGAATGCTTTCTCATCGTTCTTGATCTGACTTTGAAACATTTAAAATTACATAACAGGGCTGGGTGTGGTGGCTCAAGCCTGTAATGCCAGCACTTTGGAAGGCTGAGGTGGGCAGATCACTCGAGGTCAGGAGTTCGAGACCATCCAGGCCAACACGCCTCTACTAAAAACACAAAAATTAGCCAGGTGTGGTGATGCACACCTGTAATCCAGTGCTACTTGGGAGACTGAGGCAGGAGAAGTGTTTGAACCTGGGAAGCGGAGGCTGCAGTGAGCTGAGGTCATGCCACTAACTCCAACTTGGGTGACAGAGCTAGACTCCATCTCAAAATAAATAAATAAAATAAAATCACACGACATATTACATAAGTGCCACACTGTAGGAAACATGGTATTAACCTGCGCTAATTATTGGACCTGGAGAACAGTTTTACCTTTTTGAGGAGAGGTAAAAATCTCTCCCAAGGCATTAGTTCTATCATGCCACTGGCAATATGTGGCAGAGGCGGAGTCTAAAATTGGGAGGGAGAGCAGGGCAAGCCCATATTTTAATCTCCTGGTCTTGTCCAAAAATTGATCAAGGCCAGGCATGATGGCTCACGCCTGTAATCCCAGCATTTTGGGAAGCTGAGGTGGGAGGACGGATTGAGTCCAGGAGTTTGAGACCAGCCTGGGAAAGATGTTGAGGCTCTGTCTCTATATAGAAACCAACAAACCAAAAACTAGCTGGGGGCAGTGGCACATGTCTGTGATCCCAGCTTCATGGGAGGCTGAGACAGAGACAAAAGGATTGCTTGAGTCCAGGAGGCCGAGGCTATGGTGAGCCATGTTAGTGTCATTGTACTCCAGCCTGGGTAACAGAGCAAGCCCCCATCTCAAAAAAAAAATAAGGTCAATGCCCTGGAAGGAGGTTCTTGGTGGGGAGCTTTTAAGATGCCTCTCCCTAATCCACAAAATCTAAAATTTACCTATGTCAGCCCTTTTAGGCAGAAGGGCTGTATTTCTGTCCCTAAAGATCTCTTTTTATTTCTGCATTTTTCTCATACAATGGTAAGCTTTTGTGACAGACTTTGCCTGCCTTATCTATGCTCAAAAAAACCAAGAGAAGTGACTCTATAAACAGAGTTGGCCTAGAGCTTATAAAAGAGTGTCAGAGGCAACCAAATGCAGTGGCTTATACCTGTAATCCCAGCACTCTGGGAGGCCAAGGTGGGTGGATCACCTGAGGTCAAGAGTTCAAGACCAGCCTGGCCAACATGGTAAAACCTCATCTCTACTGAAAATACAAAATTAGCCAGGTGTGGTCGTGCATGCCTGTAATCCCAGCTACTTGGAAGGCTGAGGCAGGAGAATCACTTGAATTTGGGAGGCAGTGGAGGTTGCAGTGAGCTGAGATTGTGCCATTGCACTCCAGCCTGGGCAACAAGAGTGAAACTCTGTCTCCCCCCACCTCACAAAGAAAAGAGGGTCAGAGGCTTCTCAGAATGAGAAACCCACATGGGGAAGGTAATACCCAGGTATCAGTGTTCAATCATCACTTCCACACATGGAGATTGTGGATTTTGTTCTTTTCAAGAGATGGGGTTTCAAGCATATTCAGAATCAGACTCCCAAAGACTAAACAGGGCAAGGACTAAGTCATTTGCGACTTTGTATCCCATTATCTAGTATATTACTGTACCCACAGCAGGAGGAGGTAAGTACCTGTTAAATAAATCTATCTCTCTGCTGGAACACACTCTTTGGCCTCAGAGAGTGCACTCACATAGTCCACAAACATGTATTTATAGTACCTGCTTTGTGGCAACACTGCACTTAGTACTGGGGGCCATACCAACAAATAAGATGGGGTATAAAGTAAAAAATAAGTAAGATAATGACAGAGAATTAGACATGCTATGAAAACAAGCAAAGTACGTGATAGAGAATGATGGGGCAGGAGAGTTAGTAAAGCCCATCACAGGGCTGGTTGTGGTGACTCACACCTATAATCCTAGCAACTTGAGAGGCTGAGGCAAGAGGATTGCTTTATCCCACAAGTTTGAGACTAGCCTGGGACACACAGGGAGACCCACATCTCTATAAAGATTTAAAAAAATGTAGTTGGGCATGGTGGTGCATGCTTGTAGTCCTAACTACTCAGGAGGCTGAGGTGGGAGAATCCCTTGAACCTAGAAATTTGAAGCTGCAGTAAGCCATGATTGTGCTAGTGCACCTAGGCAACAGAGAAAGACCTTGACTCTGAAAACTAAAAAAAAAAAAAAAAAAAAAAAAGATCATCATGGAGAAGTGTCAGCCACAAGAAGGCTTACAGGAAAGGCATTTTCCAGCCTGAAATAGTATTACGTCTATGAGGCAGGAATGAGTTTGGCATATCCCATGTTCAAGGAATAGAGAGAAGGCCAGTATACCTGGAATATGGCGAATGAGAGAAGAATGGTAGGAAATTAAGTTGGAGAGTCAGCATGAGGCCTAGTAGATCACGTTGAATGAATACAAGGCTCCATAAGCCACAGTATGAACTACGGATTTTATTGTTGGTGTAATGGCAGGTGACGAGATCTGGTCTGCCCTTGAAAAGATTACTCTGACAATTGTGTCAACAGACTATATGGGGACAAGAATGGAAGCAGAAAGAACAAAGGAGGCTGTTGTAATCTTCAGAGAATAGATGATGGAAGCTTCAACTAGGCAGGTTGTCAGTGGAGACGGAGAAAAATCAATGAAATTTGGAATTATGTTCCGGCAGTAGATTTGACATCTGATTTCTTAGACTGGATGTGGGGGTAGGAGTGAAGGAAGGAAAGAAGTCAAGGATAACTCCTAGGTTTTGAACTTGAACAAGTGAATAGACTAGAATTGGGGGAAGATAGCCTTGGAGGAAAAATTAAAGACTTTTTGTTATGTTTGTGTGAGTGGTCTATCAGATACATAGGTGGAGATGAGTTGGAGATTCAGATCTGTCAGTCACTTGAAGCTCAAGGGGGAAGGTAAGAGCTGGAAATATAAATGAGGAATCACTGGTATATCAGTCATATTTAACGCTGTGGGGCTGGAAGAAAATGCCTAGTGTAGATGAAGAAGGAAAGAGGTTCAGAGACTGAGCCTTGGGACCTTCCCAATTTTGAAGTCAGGTAGAGGAAGCGAGTTGAATATAAAATGAGGTGAGTACAGGGTGGAACTTCTCGCCAAGGAAGAGTGAGGAGATCCTCTCCTGCAAAAGCAACAATAAAAGAGGACAAAACTGACAAAACCAGCCACTTTAGCACTCTGGAAGTTAACCAATGGGACTTAACAATCTGAGCAACTTTTATGCTTGTAAAACTGCTGGACTTCAGGTTTTTTCCCCCTCCGTGGAAAAAACAGTAGAATCAGTAGCTTCTTTTTTTCCAGATGGGGAAAAAAAAAACAAAAAACGTAGGGTTGCCCAGGCTACAGTGCCCACACTGGAATGCAGTGACATAATGTTAGCTCACTGTAGCCTCAACTTTCCAGGCTCAGGTGAGGCTGCTCTCAGCCCCTCCCACACACAGTTGGTGTAGAAACTCTGGCAAGAAGGTGTTGGCTGTGAAAACAAATAGCTTCCACACAGAAGGAAGGAAATCACTTAACTTCCTTTGTATGCAGCAATATTGTTGATAGAAGTGACGATCTCCAAGGCAGTAAGCAGGAAGAGCCAAAGGCTGGAGGTGTGTTCCTGGCTGCCACTGTGTGACAGTGTAGACCTGAGAGGGCCCAAGTTAGCCACATATTCATGGCCCACCTTGAGACTGCATACACACATGTAAGAGATGCAAAAGGACCTCGTGGGAAGTAAAAGCCAGGGTAGATCTCAAAATGACTTGAATTTTGAATATGCTTCCCTAGCAACACACAGATCCAAGAGTATAAGACCAAGGCCTTATAGGCTCCAGGTGTTTAGGAACAAGATCCTGTTGAATCACTAGTTGATCTGACCGCTAAGCAACATAAACACACTAAGAAATAATTTTTTTTTTTTTTTTTTGAGACAGAGTCTGGCTCTGTTGTCAGGCGCCAGGCTGGAGTGCAGTGGCACAATCTCGGCTCACTGTAACCTCCGCCTCCCGGCTTCAAGCAATTCTCCTGCCTCAGCCTCCCAAGCAGCTGGGACTATAGGCACGCATCACCATGCCCAGCTAATTTTTGTATTTTTAGTAGAGATGGGGTTTCACCATGTTGGCCAAGATGGTCTTGATCTCTTGACCTGGTGATCCGCCTGCCTCGGCCTCCCAAAGTGCTGGGATTACAGGCTTGAGCCACTGTGTCCGGCCGATATAAATCGTAAAAAGGAACCAAATTGGGAATGTTGGCTTTTAAAGTCTTTGGCCACCATGTAAGCAGTCTGCTCTGCGGCCACCAAGCTGTGAGGAAGCCCAGACTATTTCAGGCATCAAGACCACAGGGAGAGTTCCTGACACTACATGAAAAGAGACAGATGTCTTGCCAGCCTCCAGAAGCTCCACCCTGCTGTGGTTTCAGCTCTAGCCCCCAGAAGCTCCATTCCCCTGCTATTTCAACTTGAGCCACCATCTGA